CGCCCCCCCCCCCCGCCGGCCCCCCCAGCCCTCCCCCCGCCGCCCCCCCGCTCCCCCATCCCCCGCCAGGCAGGAACCATGAGTCCAGGGGGGTTGGGGGGGGTTCTTAAAGGGCTGGAGCTGAGCTGGGCAGGGCAGCCATAGGGAGGCTGGAAGAGTGAGGGGTGGAGTCAGGGGGCTTGTGCAGAGCCCCCTACATGGTATGGTGCAGTGGGGGGCAGTGGGGATCACCCCACTACCCGACAGCACCTGGTGAGTCAGGGCTTTTTTTTTTTCAAGGTGCCAGGAGCTGGGGCAGGTGGGACAGCCATTGCCAGGCTGGGAGAGTGGGCGGGGGATGGGCCTGGGTGACTCGGAGATTCGGCAGCAGCCCAATCTCTGAATCAGATTCGGCTGAATCAAATCACTGTCCCCTGAATCGGCCAAATCCGAAGCGAATATTAGCTGCATCACACAGGCCTCACTAATGCTAATCTTGGCATCTAGGACTTCCTACTTTTCTTGTGGCTGTGATCTTCCTGACTGATTGGACAAATTACGGACCATTCCAGATTGCAGTATTTGAATCCTTGGACAGATCTACCGATGCAACCATGTAAGTCATTGGAAATGACTAGGAAATGAGCCACCTTGACCCTGGTGACACAACCAATTGCTGCAACCCCCTGCTCTCAAATATGCACTGTGCATGCACTATAGTTAATATCAACCAATTGGGTAACTGCTGGTATATTGACTTGAGTGGAGCTATATTGGTTTATGTCAGTTGGGGATCCAGCCTTCCGTGTTTAACTCTGTACTAGTAGCTGAGTCTGCCTAATATTCTGGCAGATCCATTTTTAACCTGCTTCTGTTCCCATGGTCTTAATCATGTGCCCTTTCTCCTCCCTCCAGCTGCTGGATCACAAAACCCTTGATCCACAACATGGTGAACCTTGGCTTTCTCAGCCTGGTATTCCTGTTCAACTCAGTCATGCTTGCAGCCATGATACGGGAGATCCTCAGGCAGAACAAGAGGGGCCATGCATGTAAGCATGCCCTGGCACTCCTCGGTTTGAGCTTCGTGCTGGGTCTCCCATGGGCACTGGCCTTTTTCTCCTTTTCCTCTGGAACATTGCAGCTTGTCACGATCTACCTCTTCACCATCATCAACTCCCTCCAAGGTGAGTGTGCAACCTAGTCATCCAGGTGTAACCCAGGCAATGAACCTTTGAGGTACCAGGTGCAGGAGTCTAGGTTGTTTACAAGGAGGAGCTTCCCCCCGCTCACTCAGATAAAGGAGGAGACCCAGTTTGCAGTGGGCTCATTGCTGACAAAGAGAATCCCACTCCATGCTAACAGGGTGTATCTCCTGTAAGGCCTTTAGGCTTCTTGTGTGAGAGAAGGGACAGAGGGTGTGCAAGATCTAAGACTGTGTCATGTTCCTACTAGCCACATGAGGGCACTAGGAGCCAACAAACAAGAACTTGATCTCCTGCTTATACCCCTGTCTTAGCTTGGCTCTGCTGCTGAGTGCTTACAGAGTGCTCTATTGGAAGTGACAGCAATGAAGGGATTATTGTGCAGGGCGTGAGCAGGAGGAAGTGGGCCTCTCTCTATATATGACAGTTGATGTGTTTTCTGTGCTGTCCATTTTCCTGACATCTTGTGCTTGGTGGGTGCTCCACAACCATCTTATCCTTCTTCCATAGGCTTCCTCATTTTCCTCTGGTACTGGACAATGGTGCTGCAGGCCAGAAAGTCACCCCATTCCCAGAGCAGCTCTGACAGCATGAAACTGCAGCCCAACACCAGCCAGACGAGTCCTGACTGAGTCATCACTTTCCCCACCTAGAACTGCTTCTGCCCAGAGGGATCAAGAATGAGGAATCAGCCCCCAAGAGAGGGGAGGAAAATGGCCAAGAGAGTGGAGGAGGCATGAACTTCTCCAAAGTTACTGCCTGGCTTCTTGTGTCCACATATGGCCATTAGGAATGTACAGAAAACCTACTCCACCCCACACATACCAAGTGGGGGAGTTGAACTGTATGAAGTCCACCACTAGCCAAAGGACTCAGTTTCTCTATGTGCACTCCATTTTCCTTACAGGGATCCCTCTCTCTGGCTCTCAGCTGCATTAAACCCCTTTGTTGTTGCACACACCCTTGCCCCTTTGCTCTCAGTTAAAGCACCAATTCATTGTAAATGTTGCCAGAAAAAACAGGGGACTTTAAGCAGAGTGGGGCTACAGCTTCTTCTGACTGGAGATTAGGGCTCTATTCTGTTTCATGCCCTTTTTGCTGCTTTCTGTCAAAGCCAAAGGGAAAAGCTGGAGGAAGAGTGCCTGGTATCTGTCTGTCGCAGGGCTCCAGTCATGAAACTGCAAGGACAAAGGAGAGAGGAAGCAGAACTCAAATGTAAAGACATTATCTCCTGTCACCTACAATTCCTTCAGGTCAGCCCAAAACTGGGGAGCTGATCATTTCAGATTATAGATACATATATCACTGGGAAAGGTAGACAGACCTGCAGGAGGGTCAGAGACTCCATACACTTCTTTCTAACATGTGTGGGATGCTGGGAAGAGTGATACATGGGCCTCAGTCCCTAGGCATTGGCGCTCAAGGGCAACTCAGCACCCAGTCTTCTAGGCTAAGTACAGACAGTCAAAAAACCCCAGGCTGAATTGATTCAGTCTTTGCAGGTTAGTCAAAACTGCAGAGACTAAAGTGAGAAACAACTGAACAGACACTCACTTTTGATTCATGATATGCAGCCACATCCCTGCAGTGGCTCAGGCCAGAAGCTGGTAGAGCATGGTTTTCTGGCACATAGCCAGCATGGGCTGTGTGTTTGCTTCTGTTTCCTGCTGCCCCCAAGGTCTCTAAGACTTACAGCCCAGAATGACAGGAGCAGGACTCTGTAGGGTTGGTCATCACTTTCTTTTCCTGCTTAGAGGTGCCTCTGAGATTTGTAGTCCACAGTTGCAGCCAGCAGTAGGCTTTAACAGGGAAAGGCAGCTTTGTACTTGGTGGAAGGGAAATTTAACCCCCCTTCCCTGTTCCCAACCCAGCCCAGGGCTGCACAGCATGCTGGGATGCTGGGGGACTGTGATTTAACTTGAATCAGAAAGGGGTCTGGGACAGAAGTTTCATAAACCAGTTTGACCCAAATCGGTTAAATCTGATAATACATTCAACCAGATTTATCTTAAACCAGTTAGAGTCATTTTGAAACTGGTTTATGTACACTGAACTTCTGTTCTGCTACTGGTTCAAACCAGTTTCTGATCACTTAAACTGGTTTATGTGTAACTTCTGTCCCTAGCCCTGCTCATCAGAGCTACCAGTGCTTTCCATCCGCTAACTGGCACTAGGACCAGGCTGGAAGAAGGGCTGTGTCTACACAGCAAGTGTTAGGAAGAATTTACATACCCAGAGTCCCTGAAGGGTTTGTATTCCTGTTGCTAAAGTTTGTTCATTCCCAGCTGCTGTTGTTACCTATGCCAGCTGGATTGAGGCAGGCCTACATTTTGCTGTGTAACATATCCAGGGATGAGGCTAGGGTGAAGCTTTCATGGCCATGGCAGAGTGAGCAATTCCTGGCCATGTTACTGAGAGAGATTTCCTCCTTTTGCCCTCAAATATATAAATTGGTGAAGTCCCTGGTTCTTCACACCTTTCTAGAATCCTTGCAAGCCTCAGTGACTGTGAGAAGCCCGTTTCATCAGTGTCTAGCCAGGTACATGCACCCTTGTCTTGCAGATCTGCCCCTAACTTCTCTAAGCTTGTGTGACTTCCAGTTTAGACTAATGCAATGTGATCTTTTTGGGCCTATGCTTGAGGGCTCCTCAGAAGCTCTACCTGGGGCAAAATGTTTGGGATACATATATAAATATTATATTAATTCTTAGATAGTTTTGGTATCTCCTTTTTGCTTATGGATGTAATTCAGTTGTTGACTTTGGTCCTGAAAACTCTCTACACCTTGAGTCCCACTCTGTGAATGGCTGTCTCTGTTGACATGGTCCAGCATGGCTGTGGAGATCAGCTTGGGCATAGCAGACAGTAGTCTCTAAGTGAGAATACCCAGGGACTGGTTCTGGGCCATGACTTATGTAGCAGCTTCAACTATGAAATGTGCTTCTCATCACTAGTCCAAGAAAGCCCACATCTAATGGGCTTTGATTCTTACTTCACGTGCAATATGATTTGGAGCAGTGCCTTTGAAGCCACGGCAAGTGATCATTCAAGCTGTTTGGGGCAGATTTGCAAAGGCCTAAAAGCCAGAAGGACATTTAACTCTGATTGCAAGTCAGTGGGAGTTGGCCATCTCCAGTCCTCCCTGTACATTTGAAAATCTCCCCATTGTCTCTATGGCTCAATTCAAGGTTCCTGAGGTGTTTGCCACCTCCCCAAAGGCTGCTGAGACTGCACTTTAACCCATAGGCAGTCATTGGCTATTTAAGGAATTGTGACATGCACCTTGAAAGGAAACATGTTTTTTGCAAGTCTTAAGAAAGAAAGAACTAATCAATTAAGTGCCAGAGTCTCTAACACCTGAAATAATATATTTTTCTTATTATGTGTTGAATGTTTATATTTTTATATGGAGTAGATGTTTATTGAATATGCTTACAAATCTAAATTTTGTAATTATTAAAATTCAGCAATGCTCCCTACTCTGATGCTGTCTGTGGCTGAGGCATTATCCTGTTTCTAATCCACATCCCTGGTGTATGTTTAAAGGGAACTTTCTAAAGGTAAAAATGTAAGCGTGTGTCTCTGGCCCTTGTTCCTGTGCTGTATGCTGCCCTGCCCACGGCACTCTGTCCTGAAGACTTTAATAGTCCTCTTTCTACCAAGCTTGTATCCAGGTTCCTTTCTGTCCAGGAGATCAGCTACAGGGGTTCTTCACCTGCTTTGCGCCCTTCCCAGGACACATGCAACAGAGTGGGATGGTGAAAACCAGAAGAGCCATTCCCATTGCCCACAGCAAGGACAGGATGGAGAAGAACCACTCTGGGTTCTTTCTGCTCCTTCCTCTCTTCCTCTAAAAGCTCTGTTGCTTCCCAAACCCTGTTTCCTGCAGCATCCCTGATAGGCCACTGTTCCCAAGAGATGAGCAGTGGGGCAGGCAGACAGTCCCAGGATTTTTACCTGGCCAGAGCTGAAAGTCATTATAAGAGTAGTGCTTTGCTAGAAGACAGATGTAGAAATTGGTTTGAGTCTCACAGGGTACATCTATACGTGCCATTAATGCAAAGCAATAAAAATATTGTGCTGGGGTTTATTGCTGCTGTGTGCCACATTTACACAGGCACATAGATGGGACATAGGAGCCCTGGCTGGCAACCCAGGGCTGCTCCAACCCAGCTCAAGGTGCTTCCAAGGAGCTGGCTGAGGCATGAGGTTGCTCCAGTGTGGGGCTAGCCAGTAGGTAGCCTCCACACTGAAACACCCTCGTGCCCCTGCTTGCCCCACCAGTGTATACATGTGCATTGCTGCACACTAAAGAATTCCAGAACAGGATAGTACTTGTATTTATAAGTACTAACCAATGGTGGAGTCAATTAGTTTTCTGTGTTCTAACAGGGCCACATGTGTAGATGCTCAGACTACTGCAGAGCCAGTTAGGCAGTTCCACAGTAAATGTCTTGTGTAGATGTGCCCACAGAGTTGGAAACACTGCAGATACTAGCTTAAACACTGCAGGTACTGTGCATGTACACAATGACATGATCGTGCTAAACTGAAATTAGTTTGACACACACTACATTTTACAGCAATGCCCTGTTGGCACTGGATTTATGACCCAGATGCCTTGTTCTGGGGGGACGCAAAACCCTCAGACTGACTATGACCTTTCCATTTGATAGTAGGCAAATTTATTGATACGCAGTTGGGGAGGCACTGAGCAGAGTTGAGGAGGCACTGATGTCCCAGAGGGGAGAGGAGTCAGGGGTCCAAGAAGAGTGGTCGTTCCTTAAGGAGATGATCCTCCAAGCCCAAAGGGAGGTAATCCCAACATGGATCAAAGGGGGCAAGAGGGCGCAAAAGCCCCCATGGCTCACCAAAAGCATACGGGAACGTCTCCTAGCTAAAAGGGAGGCGTACACCCAATGGAAGGGAGGGCCCATCACCAGGGAGGACTATACCTCGGTTGCTCAGGGCTGCAGGGGGGCGGTCAGGAAGGCCAAGGCGGAGATGGAACTGGGACTAGCTACCTGGATCAAGGACAACAAGAAGTCCTTTTTTAAATACATAGGGGGTAAAAAGAAGGTACCGGGTAACGTGGGGCCTCTGCAAGACACGCTAGGAAATCTGGTCGTCACACCAGATGACAAGGCTAACATATTTAACAATTTCTTTGCCTCCATTTTCCTGAGCAGGGACCGGGTCACCCCCGCCCACCAGGACCTCCATATGCCCCGGGGAAGGTGCACTCAGGCCTAGGGTCAGTGAGGATCTAGTCAGGGAACTTCTGGAGGGACTGGACATATTTAAATCAGCTGGTCCTGACGATCTCCACCCCAGAGTGCTGAGGGAATTAGCAGAGGTCATTGCAGAACCCCTGACACAGCTTTATGTGCTCTGGTGCTCTGGCATGGTGCCAGAGGACTGGAAAAGGGCCAATGTGGTTCCCATTTTCAAAAAAGGGAGGAAGGAGGACCCAGGAAACTACAGGCCAGTTAGTCTTACCTTGATCCTGGGTAAGCTTTTTGAGAGAATTAACATAGCGCACGTCCACGAGGGGCCAGCAGGGGAGGTTATGCTTAGGGGGAACCAACATGGGTTCATTAGAGGCAGGTCCTGTCAAACCAACCTGGTGGCCCTCCATAACCAGGTCACAAAATCCTTAGACGCAGGGGTAGCAGTGGACGTAGTCTTTCTGGACTTCAGGAAAGCCTTCGACACTGTCTCTCACCCCATTCTCATTAAAAAACTAGGGGACTGTGG